GCCGTAACAACCATTGCATTTAAACACCTCATTGCCGAGCCTCGTGGGTGTGTTTGTCCCGGACAAAAATTATTGCACCCCCGTAAATAGTAATGACAATTTTCTTCTTCTTTCTCGCCCCCGGGCGTATATAAAAACAGCAAAGGGGCGCATACACCTAAGGGTCGGGGCCGGCAGTGTTTTACTTACAGTTACCGACGGCGGCGGCGGCTGGCTATTCATCAAAAGTCAACCACCCAGGGTTGGTTGACCACCACCACCACCGGCCCAGAGCTGCTGCTGCTGCCAGTGACATACAACGAGCCCGGCCGTTTTTGACGAGAGACCCGGCCGGAGAGACGTGCCGCCGTCGCCACGTCCGCGCCAGATTAATTAAGATCCGCCGGCAGCTTTGTTCGTGCGGTCGCCGGCAGACGTGGCCGAGTGTAAAATATGATTGACGGCTGCGCGGCCGAACGATAAGTAGGCAACGCGCGAGGGGAGGGGGGTAAAAGTTAGGACAAGGCTAAGGGGGGGGGGAGGTTGATTGATATTCCTGCGGGCAAACGCGCGACGGTCTTTCGAAGAACCGAAGACGGGGGAGGGGGGTGGGAATAAAGGGTTGACGACGATTGTGTACCCCGAGTGGAGTTGCACTGCACCGCCGTCGTGGAGGAGGACGTCCAGCCTTTGATGTCAAATCCAGAACCACCGACTTCCTTTCGTTCGCCTTTTGCCCGTTTCTCGATTATTATTATTATTATTATTATTATTATGCTCGCCGCCGTTTTAAATGCGTTACAGAAAACAAACAAAAATCATATACCGCTCGCGGCCGCCGCCGATTTATAGTAAAAATATAATAACATAATGTTCGTACTTGTACATTATTACCTTAGCAAAATAACGCGTCAGCCTCGAGGTCTGAGTATGTTCTTCTCGTACCACACACACACACACATTCGATTAGCATTAATAACATTAACGTGTACAACGGAGGAGACTTCTCTTTTGATCTTTTCGAAGGAAATCCGTCGACTGACAAGCGCACGCATAACAAAGCGCGTGTACGGTTGTTTTCTCTATCAGCCTTTTTCTTATTGTTCCCGATTTTGACTTAACCGATATACACATACACGGCAATTGTAATTATTATTATACGTTAATAGCAGTGTTGAAACGCGGTGCGGGTGTTGCCCGACCTTTGACATGTCTCGAAAACCGATTCGATTGCGAGCGCTGAAAATGTATTTTCTTAAGAAAACTAAAACCCCGACTTGGGTTTAGCGTACAAGCATTTAGATGGCGTTTTGTTTACTCGACTGACGCTCTGACTAAATGCCTCTGTTAAAAGCCTCGTCGAGAGTAGATCTAATGAGAAAAATCGACACCGCATAGCGGACGGTAACTCCTTCTTATTCTTATTCTTCTGTTGTTGTTTCCGGCTTAACTGACACACCTTTGTGTGCTGTGGTGCAGTAGACCGTGTTCTTTTCTTATTGATATTCTGAGATCGCACACACCGGCAAAAGTACTTACACGAATAGACGCAATTATCATTTTTGTAACGCGATTAAGTGCATAAACATAGCTTAATCGCTTCGTGCAAAAAGGCCGCCCTTAGTCCGTGAAAACTTGAAAGTTTTGGTAAAACGAAAACAGATTTTTGATAGTAGGTAAAATTAAATTCCAAAAGACAATTTTTAGTCTTTATATTAGTATTTAAGGGAGGATTTAGACCCTTTTTACAAAAATCAACTATTATATGTAATTAATACCTACTTAACGTTTTTTTAGTGCATGGCTATAAAAAATAATAAAAACCAAATGTCATGTATTATTTTAATTGTTAAACAACAAATATTACCTTCTTATTGTCAACCATTATTTTTTTTTTTTTAAACAATATAAGAATAATTAACTAGCATATTTTTTTTTGATAATATTATTATTGTCAACAGTTGCACGAAGCGATTCAATCAACTGTTACAGTATAGTAATAATTAATATTACCTATTTTATTATTATTGTGAACTCTCCGATTTCGTTATACTTTTTTAGAATAATATATACATTTTATTTTTTAAATAATATAATAAACGAGAAACGACGCGCATAATATAATATTTTAATAGGTTTTCCATAAAAAAATTCAGCCATCGGCGCATACTGGACACAAGATATACACCAAATGTATACATATATACATATATTATACAATCTCTCTGGGGCAGTGTCTTGTTGTCTGATATGTCAGTCTTATGTCAGTCCGACGTCGACGGCGGCGTTATAATAACACGCGTCTTGGATCAGTGTCAGTCAAGTGTGTCAAGTGAATGACGGAACACACGGGCCCCGGGGCGGCAAGGTGCTATTTGTCAGTTGTAAAAAAAAAAAAACCGTAAGCCCTAAGACAAAAAAAAAAAAAAAAGAACTCTCCAAATAAAATACCCGAATCCTGACGTCTACAACACCACACAGTAACAGACAAACTAACATACATAATATAAAGTTGAGATGTGAATTGTTTTCTTTTTTCCTTTGACCTTATTATTATGTTTGACTGCTAAATATAATATTTCTACTTAACAAGCGAGATATACTCGGCCCCCAAACATGTTTTCATCAAACAACAAGTAATTGAACGGTTTAATTAAAGTGCAATAATCGTATCATGCGCAAGTCGACATTAATCTCGAAATCATGTTCTTGTTATTATTATTCCCGTTGTATTTTTTCAGTAAGCGCCTCCTTTTGCGCATATTACTACAATTATACTTAACGACTGCAGCAACAACGGTGGCGGTAATACGTTAAGTTTTTTTTTTTTTATATATTATTCTTCCAATATCGTGTGCCAGCAGAGCAACCATCGCGCCACCACGTTTCTCGTCATGCAATGTGCATAATTTATACACACGGTATTATATTATACAAAATAAACTGGCTGGCGACGATTGCAGCAGTGTGCGGCGGCCGAGAGAGCCGTTAAGTGATTTATGTACGACAACCGGTATTGTCAGTCAGTAGAGTTATTGCTTGAATTCAAATGTCAACGGTGCGCGTGTGTGTGTGTGTTGCGGTTGTCACGGGTTTTTTATATACGTATGTGTGTCTTTTTTTAATTCCTACATGCGACGATTCACATTGCTAGAACAACGATAATAATATGGCGTCGACCGTGCACATATAGCTGTTGCTGTATTGGTAAACGCGCGAGGAAACGACACTGGCGACGGGTAAAAAAAAAATAAAAAATAATAATACTTATCCACCATCACAAGTCACTCGGCCCAGTTTTGTGAAAATTTGAATTTTGTCCGTACAACTCTTGTGCGGGGGAGGAATATAAATTCCGAGAAGAAGAAGGAAAAAATAATATCACAATATATTACAACATAAGCGACCGATAATGGCCGGTTTTTTCGGCCGTAATTTACTCTCCGCTCGTCTCCTAAATTCCGAACCGTTGTTGTAATTTCATTCTATCTCTTCTTCCCTTTTACCTTCGGCAATCGTAAAAACTCCACCGGGCCCTTCCCCCGCGGTGCACAGCAACAGTTCTTATCGACCGACTGATTTATATTATTATATATACACCGTACGAGGAACTGCGCGCCTAGGTCGTTCAAGGGCGGCGAGGAGACCCTCTGGACGCGCGGAGGAGCTGATTCACGAGACGGATCGACACACCGAGAGAGAGCGTGGGGGGTGGAGGGTATAGGATATTTATTTAATACATCTGTTCGTCTTGACATAATGTCCCTCTATATATCGTTCACGTATAGTCGCGGTGCCCTCTCCTCCCATATATCGACTTGTGCCGTTTTCCTCCCCCACCCCCGGGTCGGACCATAACCATTCACGGTTTTATGTGCAACACACGACGTGCACGGCACACGGCCGGGGGTGTGTGCGAGGGTGCAAGTCCAAAAGTTTTCGCCCATCCAAGGTAGGTGGTATATATAGCGAAGCTCTAATGGTACCCGAGGCCATTCCGGATGAGATATACGACCGTTGCCCGCCACCGTCACCGCTGCGCGCCAAGCAGTTTGGCCAGCCGTGAATGACAAACTCAACCATAACTCTTTGGCACGGCCCTCCCCTTGGCCGGCTCTCGCTCTCTCCCTCTCTGTCACTTCCCCTTGGCACAAAAACAGCGGCCGCTTCAATTAAGCGCGACTCTTATCGACGGCGTACTTTTAAAATTTATTATTATTACTATTATAGCCCAAATCCCGCACCCCACCCCACCCCTCCCCCCACTTCTCCTTCTCCACCGACGGACGAATTCTCGGCCAGTTTTCGCCCCAAACAAAACGCATTTGGACTAATCGATTTCTCATGGTCGGAAGTAGTAGTTCATTCCGGAAAGTTTGACGGGTCGCGTGACAACAACATTTTCCTACGTGTGTATGTGTGTGTGCGAAGGGGCGAGAAAGGGGAGGTATATATATATATAACATAATTAGGGGCACCCGGGCCTTTTGTCAACGTCGTTCAAACTCTCTCGAAGGCGGTCCGACGGACGACGGTTTTGAATTAATTGCGTTTTATATAATGTGACGTGTAAAGGACGACGGAAAGTGACTAAATGCCGGCACAACACAGAAAACGGGTATAGGTATACAATATGTACGCGTATTATACATGTATATATATATAGCTGCGGCTGCCGCGGCGAATAACAAACGAGACCCCATCAATTAGCCGACCGAAAGTTCGTCATTATATATCGGACGGACCGGTGGATATAGGGGTGGGGGAGAGAGAAGGGTAAAGGGGTAAAGGGGTCGGTCAAAATATATATACACACACTCGAGCGTATATTCCCGTTAAAGGTAAGAGGCAAAAGGCTGATGAATTGTCCTAATGACCGGGATACCGTGTGTCCTGTATGTATGTGTGTATGTATGTATATACATAGGTATAAAGCGCCGACCTCCAAGGCGGCGGCGGCGGCCATTTGTTTGCAACGGCTGGCGGCTAATATGCGGCGAGTATATACGCGGCGCACTTACTATACAACGTAGGTAGGTACAGCACGCGTGCAGATGGACTTTTGACACGTCCTGCCCGGGACCCGTAATGAACGACCGGCTTGGGGATTGCCCCGTTTTGAGTTTTCAAAACTCAATTCGTCTTTTACGGGTCGATACGTCCGGTCCCCGTCCGTTAGCCTTTACTGTTCGACACATATATGTATACATATAATATAGTTACTCACCTGCAACACAAAAAAAAAAACAAAAGACATTAGTATTAGATACAAAGGCTATTATATATTTATATATAAATATCCCTGACGTCAACGAGTCGTATGTCAATATTTATAAAGTCTTGTAACAATTATTGTTATCTCTTTTGCGCGGCACACAGAAGAGAGAGGACGACACATGTCGTGCGCACGAAGAGTCATTAAAAGGCTGATGGGCAGGGAAGTGAGGAGGGTAGGAAACAAATAAATATAATATAGAAAAAAAAAATGTTACACAAGAAGAAAACTCGACACAGTGAATTGGATGGACGACGACGACGCCGTTGCCGCCGACAATGGGCCATCACGCAGATGGGATGAACGAAGGAGGGATGCGTGACAAAGAGAGAACCGGGTGAATTATATGGCAGCGGCCCACCCTCAGGGACCATATCTCACCCGTTATAGCCGTCACAGGACAATCCCGGCCGCCGCCTACTCAAGGTCTTTGCGCGTGTATATACATATATATACACCCAAGACTTTTGACTGATTTATGTCAAACCGGCCGGCCGTAGCCACGAGGACGAAGCGGTGTAACGGAGAAACAGGCACGGCTATATACGGGGACGTGGATCAGATTTATGGGCCACGCGGATCTCCTCCGCCGCCTGTAGCTTTTCGATTATTGCCATCGTCCCCCATCCCCTATCTACCCGCCGTCCACCCTCCTCGGGCCACTATTTCACCGTGTACATATATATATAACACACCAAATGGTCGATTTTCCTGGGGAAACGCGGGAGTTATTTTATGTCGACACGCGGAGATGCACATTAGGCGGCGGTGGTGGTGGTGGCGAAGGGGTGAAAAAACCTATAAAAACGCAAACCGAAGAGGGAAAAAATGTTAATTTGTTACTACTACGGTATAGCATATAGTGTAGCTGTTGTAGTAGAGTATAGTCGAGTAGTAGTAACACCGGTAAAGTATAGAGGCCGGCCCAACGTATTTTTGTTTTACTGCCCTCGGATATCTTAAACCTGAATTAAGCGTTTAAATTCATTACAGGTACATAACGAACCGTGTAAATTAGGTACATCAAAATCGTCCAAAAAGAGAGCGACCTATAGAAAGTTGGGTCGGATCCAACAGAAGCTTCGGTTCACTTTGGATGAAACCTTGTTCGCGGTGCCGGGGTGTTTATTGAAACACGAATAAAAAAAAAAACGTTTCTTCAAATATCGAAGCATATTCGTCAGAGGACATAAAGAAAAACCGACTGGAAAAAAAGTTTTTTATTCTCCCCTCCATAAAAGCTTCGCGCCAGAGAGTTCATATCAAAAGCAATTGCCATATTTTCACACAAAGCGTCCGGGGCTTTTCTCATTGATTTCTTTTCTTTCCGGTTATTCCTTTTTATACACACACACAAGTACAAACATAGTGACAGACGGAAACTGCTTTCTGCGCTTGTGTGCGTGCGTGGAGCGGCGCGCTTTACACGAGTTTATATAGCCACGAGTGACGTTATTTGTCAGTTGTCAGTCAAACCCTGTACTGTACCCAGGAAATGACAACACGGGGGCGCAGGAAGCGATATAATCAATATCGGAGACAAACCGCCTTGTGTCTTAAGACCGCATCATCCCGTCGTCGTCGCACACCCCCCGTGTCGTCGCGTCTACCCTCCCCACCTCCCACCGTCCGGCTCTCTGACCATTTACCACCGCCGCCGTTTTGTGTAATCTCTCCCCCCCTTCCCGTCATCTTGTGTGTCGTTTGGTTTTTCTCTTTCTTTTTACACAGCAACGGCCAAACGCAACTATTACAAACGAACAATAGCAACGGTAACGACAATAATAATAATAAAAAAAAAAAAACCCTGTAAGACCGTGATAGTAGTGTGTGTGTCTTTGGATAGGTGGACTCGGTGGCGGGTGTGTGCGTGTAATAGGACCATTTGGATTCCGGATCCGACGTGGCAGTTTTCTTAGGCAATTACCGAAAGGCCGTTTTCAAGTCGACCTTTGTGTGTAATATGCGTTGGTATTATTGTCGTATATATATATATATTCTAGCGGCAAACCGATCGGGGGGCCCGAATTAGTTTAATGGCAGTCGTCGTTTCCGAATTAACGCCACACCGGCTATACATACATAAATATACACAGCTGCCCCTCCCCCTCCCCCACTCAGTTTCCATTAAGTTTTATTGATATTGCGTTTTTCGGGCAACGGCATTTTTACGAGTAGGATGGAGCTGGCAGTCCATATACAGGGATCTTCGGTTTCTCCGGTGGAGGGGGTAGGGATGGGCGCAGACGACCGCCGCACGGCGACAAACATTATTAAGAAACGACGAGTTATTGAATGGAAAAGCTGTAAAACGCCTCCTTTGCCGAACATTGCCCGCGTTTTTCCAAAGTCGGTCCCAGCCCTTTCCCGGACCGGCACGAACCGAACGCGCTTGTGAATTTTAAATCCCCCTCCCCCTCTCTGCCCCCTCACCTCGGTGGAAGCCCGTGGAACGTGCAGAGTTTGTGTTAGTGACCTTTAAGCGACGTTTTCGAAAAAAAAGTAAAAACAAATTAAACACCTTCGGCAACGACCTAATTTGTTTTTATTTTCTATACAATATAATACGTCCAACCTCTGTGTTTCTTGGAACAATAAAAAAAAAATACATACATACAAACCGATATTATTATGTAAATGGCGCTTTATTTTTCAAAACGTAATAAACAACAGCACACGACCGATTAACAACAACGTTCGACGCTTTTGCATACATTTTTTAATAATAATTTATAAAATGCCCGCCGTCGTCCTCTTAATGTGTGTATACAAGTTGTTTTCGGACTTGACCGAACAGCTTGCCATAAAGCATATACGATAATGTAATGGGCCGTGGGCCAAGCAGTAAGTAAACCAAACCAAACCAAAGCCTAAAGGATTACACAACATACTTAAGATATACATACACACACACACACACACTGACAAAGACTAGAGCGACAGCGGTTGTGGAATTATGATGGACACCGACTTCGGGTTCCTACATATTATCAAGTATAAAAAATCAAGTAACGCACATTGATTGGCATCGTAGCCGTCGGATATTATATTAGGTACTATATATTTTTTTTTTATTGGAGAAATCCGTCGAACGGACGAAATATAAACACACACACGACAAGACGCATTAAATAAGGTATCGACGTTGGCCGGAATAAAAGCAAAATCCACTTAACGTGTACAAAAAGAGAGAGACGTGGGCGCGTCAACGTTAGTTAGGTGACAATATTTATTATATATTTACCCATTTAAACCGAATAAACGAGTTTCTTACCCGGGAGGGAAGGAGAGAGAGATTGATGGATAGGCAGCAAAAGCAGGCAGGCGTACCACACGGGTTCTGGTCGTACATATAACTGGTTTCCATGTTTATCACATAATACAAACAACCGTCGCACTGGTATAGCTGAGCCGCGGTTGTGTTTTAAATAATAATATTGTGAAATCTTTAATGAGCAAAGACCGAGGCGCCGCAGCCCAGAGAGAGCCGCCTCAAAGGAAATTCTCGGCCGGGTTAGTCATCACAATATCGTTATTGTCATAACAATAATAATTATTATACTTAGCATTTTTTTAAATTATTATCAAGCAGCGTATGCCACCCGGTCAGAAATAAAAATAAATAAAAAGTGTGCTCTGTGTAACATTATTCCATTATATATTTATATATATATATATTGTGACGTAACGTCGGTCGCCGATATGTGTTGTCTCCCTGATCGATGGATGGGCTGCCGTCGGGCCGGAGACAAATTAAATTTAATTGACATATTGATGGAGTACGGGTTCGGAGTAGTAACGACGGTCAATTGATTGATCCCGGGGATACCCGAACACAGGCGTCGCCCCCGGGTCGTGTGCTCTGCAAGCCTTCGGGACGTCCGTATAAGATAAAAACTTTTATAAAAAAAAAACAAAACAAATCGAATCGAAATTGTATTTTTTCGAGAAGATAAAACTCCTCGACCGGCAAAAAACCGGTTAACGCACCACACGTTGTTAATATTGTTTGTTGAGCCTGGTCGCCGTTTAAATTTCATCTAGTCGCACATATTTTATGTAAAATCGAATTACAACAGTTATTAATATTTGCCAGCCTTCTTACGGTTTATTATTTTTCTTTCTCCACCTCCCCTCTGGGGCCCGCCGGTCGATAAAGCGCGAATTTTCTCATATACCGCGAAGCGTGTGGAAATGAAAACTGAGCCAATATAGGTACTGCACACACACACATATCTACACTCACCCGCTTGTATATATATATATTATATTTTTATACGATGGTATTTCCCGAGTATGCACGTTTTCCAGTCATAAGTCAAAAGGCTTCTCGCCGGCCAGGCGATATGTAGAGGAAAGGGGCGGGGGCGCACGAAGATGGAAGCATCAGTCAAACGTCTTGGGTCTCTTGACGGCTGTCGATATATATATATATATAAACATGAACGTGTAATGTGTGAACGGGCGACGGCGAGGGGCGGTGAATGTGTGTATAATGTTCACTGCGTTCGTGCTACTATTTCATATACACCTTACCTCGAACCGAGAAATAATAATATCTCGGGCAAAAGGGACCAAGGGCCGGGAGCAGGAGGGATGGGGGAGGGGTGGTTTCATCCCCGTCAGAAACGCCACGGCGTCATATCTCTCCCGGGCTCGCTCGCGCCGTTTAGATTTATAGCGTTAATATTTATTTTGGACGCGTTGTGTAACCGCTATGCCTACACTCCCCGGTAGTGGGTCCGGGGTAAGGGGGAGTGTCGGTCGGTTACAACAAATTTGGCGTGTTGGCAACGGAACAAGTTATCAAAGACCCGCTCACTGATATACACCGGCGGCGGCGGCGGCGGTCGGACCGTTATCTATCAAAAAGTTCACAACGACTAGACGCCGGAAGATTTGATTTGTGAGCGCGTCCGGCGGTGTTGCCCCTTTTTTAAGTACAGTCGGTG